GGATAATCCCACCTTAAAGTTCCCTTGAGCAACCTTTGCGATAAAATTTAACAATACCAATTTCCCATTGCTTTGACATAACATAATAATATCCGTTCCACTTGAAAATATCTCTCGTTACCCTTGACTACCGGTAATGGTATTAAAGGCCATCAACATTATTCGTGTACTCCGCCAATGGACATTGACAATTTCGCAACCAAAAGGCGAATATTATTTAACTTTATTAACGTAATTTAACTTTTTATTTATGTAACACAGTTGTAACTTATTGTTCTGCATTGTGACCAGCAGATTGTACACCCTTTTGGCAATAAAAATTATTCTATTCTATTCAAATTGAACCTACCTCAAAAACGATGTTTAATATAACTGGTTTAAATTCAATAACCTGGAATGGTGATGCTCGCCTAACATTGGCAAACTTGGACGGTGGAAAGAGATAAAATATGAGAGGAGAAAAAGAAGAATATTAAGAAGAATGACATCCAGCTGTCTATCTGTAGTGGTTTGTGTAAGGCTCTTATAGCGATGCCAACGACTATTTTCTCGCTCTAGAAACGTGCAAAAGTACCTAGATTGATCTCGTGTCAATCAAAGATCTTGACGTGTGCATTTATAATGTTATTGTCGCTGTTTACATTGGCAACAAAGACCCACTTCCATTTCCATTTTTGATTTAGAAGTAAAGTGATTGAGGGTAAGTACTAAGACAGTTCTCATCCTTTGCCTACAAGGTTGCCGTAGTCTGCTGGCGCGAGCTATATAGCAGCCATGCTCGTCGAATCACACCGTTAAGCTGGATTCCTTACACTAAGTAATGTTCCTTGGTGTCTGCTTACCGAAATGTTTGCTCGGTAAAGGTACATTATACGAGTATATATAAGACTGGGTTTACTTCGCATTACGTACTGGCTCACAATGTTTTTTTAATCGGGTATTAAATGTACACAAACCTAACTGACGTGTATCTATTTTTTTTAAGAATACCTAACTTAGTACTTAATTTGTATTGTATTTGTATTACTAATAGTCCCTTCAGCTCTTCGTCGTAAGCTAAGTACGCTTGTGTTACGAGCGTGCTAAAGAGGGAATAAAAGACAATGCCGGAAATTNCATGTATACCTCTAAACTCAGTCTGAACTGAGTTACGAGCATTAGAAGTTTGATGATTTTCATACTAGATTTGCTTTTTGCGCGCAAAGTTTTGTAAGAAATTGCAACAAACTAGTGAGATTGTATGTGTAAACAAACATACCATCCATTAAAGGCTCCAGACATCAGTATGGAGCAGAATCAGTGCAATAAAAAAATAGCGCAATATTTTGTTGCAATTTCTTACAAAACTTGCGCACAAAAAGCAAATCTAGTATGAAAATCATCAAACTTCTTCTAATGCTCGTAACTCAGTTCAGACTGAGTTTAGAGGTATACATGCCATAGTAAGTTTGGTTCATTACACTATTTTGTAATCAAAAAACAAAGTTTGATCGATGGCCGCGCGAAAAAAAAAAGACGCCACTTTCCATACAAAATCTGGCATTGCCATTAGCAATGCATTAATTAAAGACAGTGCCTAACGGTACTTATATGAATTTAATTGCATGCGCAATTAAAAAACAAGGATGGAGTTAATTATAATTTTTGGCCATTTGGAGACTTCTTGCAGACGGCTAACGAAATTATAAAGTAAAGGAAAATAAAGATTATTTGAACAAAAGCAGTAAAGCACTTTTCGTAATGAGACTGCTGCTCCAATTTAATAATGATGTACCTATGTAGGAATATAGCTATAACTGAAACATAGGTAGTACCGACGTAGCTATAAAAGTAAGTATGCGGAGTAAAATCTACGAGTACCTACATTTATTATGAAACCGGTTATTCTTACCATAACTTTCTCACTAAACCCATATTTTTTGTGCTACTCTGATGTTTTCTGAACCACAACATTGTTCTAATCTATGAATTAAATTTGAATAAACAACGCCGTCTGCGGAGCTGATGGATTAGTTCACCTTTGCAATTTTCTGACGATTTTATTCTGGCCCCTAGGCAAATCAAATGAGAAACACATTTTGCACTTAATAATAATAAATAAAAAAATATTTATTGCCTTCGAACCATTAGACAGACAGACACTTATCTCAACTGAGAGAATACATTTATTACTACACATTCTTCATGCTCAAGCCAAATATTTGAATTAATGCCACAGAATAATAACAAAAGGCAAATGTAAGAATAAATAAGGAAAATCGTCTTTCAGGTCTTCCCCGAGGCCCTATTGACGAAATGAATCATGGTCATCGTAAAGATAGATAAGAAATTAAACGTCTAGCTAGAATTTGTGACATACTACATATTCATCAAAGTTTTAAACAATGTATCTGTTACGCTTAAAGGCCGATAACGCTCATTTAGCGAAAAAATAGCTCATAACGCGTTGTGGTCACAATAAAACATACACGTAGTGAAATTCGTGTTATGGCTGTGTACCTATGTATCCTATCATAATAAAATTCTGTACACATCTTAATTCTGGTAAAACAAAAATTTTTAAGAACTTTATTTAGGTACAGCTTTTCTATTAAAGTTTTTATTTTTTGAAGAAACAATAAAACTAATGCTACAATTACCAAACGATGCAGACCAAAATCACAATAGGAAGATGACTCAAAGAACTCATAAACAGTATACAAACAGAAGGTGAGATAATAGGCCTTTAAAAGTACTAATCACATGTTGTCTGCTTGTAATAGTGGCGTCTGGCATGAAACCGGAAAACTGCGCCGTTTAATTGCATACTACCACAAGTACCACAGTTATCTACGAGTACAAGTGAATGAATCAAATAGACTGAACAGTAAACACAAGTTACGGATCGCAACGTACGAGTAGAGAACAGACAAGCGATGTCAAGAAAATAGGGTCAGAATCTGAATGCTGCGGCAATTCTACTTAATTATAAATGCGAAACTTTGTTTAATAACTTCTCTATTTTCTCAAATATTAGAATTTAAAACATTTCGCATAAAAAAAAAATGTTGCCGGTCCAAAAATATAAAGGTAGGTAAAATGTTACTACCATGCCGCTTTGACTCATCTGCGTTTGTGTTTGTAGCTACATTGAAGATATGAAAGTAGTTAATTCTCGTGCCCTTTTTTTAAACGAATTAAGTCAATACAAAAATATAACAGAAACACATGACAGGCGATCATTTTGTCCAGAAAGATACTATTAATGTATAGTAATAATAATCATGTTTGTTACTAAATAACCAGTATATTACGAGTATACGCGTCTCCAATTATTAAATTAACCAAATTTTTGTGCTTCCATGTTTTTGTAAACAGAAGTCGTGTTTCCCTTCGTTAAAACATGAAACATGATCCAGAAAGCTTTGTATAAAGTTACGTATTTTATTTACCGCGAACAAGTCATTATCTGTCATGAAAACAAGGAATTTTTCCCCAAATTAGTGGGGTCATATGATTTTTCTTAGACACATTGTTTGGCTTTAAGCTCCATTTAGGTTCAGTCTGCACATATTTGATGTACTCGAATTTGGTTATTCTTACCGTTAGATAATTCCTGGCAATTAGTGGTGACTGAGTTTGTTCCGGCGTTTCTTCTCAGCACTTGCCATATGTTTGTCTCGAAGCGCTGGTAGGGCCCAAAAGATAAGGAGACATGTAAAGTGCCCCATAAGGGCTACCTTTTCTTTTTTTTATTATTTTCTATAATAATATTTTGACGTTCATAAGTGCCACTTGTGGTCTAAACTGAATAAATATTTTTGATTTTGATTTTGATTATAAAGTCTGCACATTATTTTTTTACATATTAGTTATGTATTAAAATTGGTGTAATAAAAATAACTAGAGCTAATAATTATTATTACTTATGTGTTATTTATATGTCGGATCCTTAGTAAAATTACATGCATTTAAGCAGCAACACCACCCGTTTGATGCGTGGTTATTGATACTTTCATAATTTTCTATCTCGGAAGGCCTACCTTTTTGGAGTAGGTATCTTAATTCCGCCATACGAATGTCGATGATCTCTAAAATTAATATCAAGATCAAGTATTTTATAGAAACCCTAGAAACCTTTTATTTCACGATAAACAAAAGGTTTCAGAGACTTAACTATACTCTTTGAGTTATGAAATACAAACTTTTCCGACGTAAACTTTTAGGTTGAAAGTTCCGACCTTTTCTTTTTCAGACAATCCAGAACGTGTAAAAAGTTATTTATCCGCCAAACCTGTGAGATAAGCTTTATTAGAATGAATGGTGGAAATCTTTGGGAGTTGAAACCTCTAAAACGCAACCCTCGCGTAATTTGACTGAACGAAATAACTTTCAAGGGGAATTCCAAGTTCGGAGACACTTCGTGTTAACTTCAGTTTGATTGAATGTCTCTACGTATAAGCTATTATGCTTTTATCAATAATTACGTTTTCGTCGCGCGCTGAGCTGCTTTTGTTGTCAAAGTGAATTTCCGTAGGGGGATTAGAACTTAGATAATGTTGAAGGAATTTGAATTAGATGTTTCTTACTTACTGCAAATAAGTAGGTACCTATTAATATGTATTTCTTTTATTTCTTTCTGTTATTCTCAAATGAACTTGTTATTTATTGACACCAGAAGATTGAGATTTGTAGGTCCTATGAGTACAATGCGAGTTAAATCTACGAATTTGCAGTAATTTGTTAAAATAAAATTCGTTGTTTCCAGGCGCTAACAGTAGACTCACCCAACATTTTTCTACACAGCATCATTAAAAACAAAAGAAAGACAGACGTAGGTACCTACCTACGTATATCTACTAGTACATTGTTAAGATCGTTGCGGATGCCTCGCATAACTTTAACTTGCACTTTTACCTATACATCAACAGCGCCACACACTTCAATAGAAGCCAACTAGCCACATGACTTTTAATTTACTCTAAATTATAATACAAAATAGCATGTCAACTTAAACTCACCTATATCCTTAATTAATCCTATTTTATATCCTTATTCTTACAGCACAACACACAAAAGTTTTGAGATCATCAAAAACTAGAATAAATCTGAACGCACAAGTCAAAAGTTATCACAAATCCTATCACATGTTCTGAAACGGTTTAAGAGCCCGAGTGCACTGTGCGTTTACAATCGGGGCCCAAATATTGGGCGCACGCACGTATTTGTAAACATCGTCGTTTGCCACGGTTGCCTGCAGTGGAGTGGCGCGAGCGAGGCCCAAGGAAAGACTGCCGCGCGAGTGCGGGCCGGGCGAGCCACTTGCAGAAGTATGGAAGTACGAACTTCTGTTTGTTTTGAACGCTCCACTTACTACCATTACATAAGGCTATCATGGCACACGAATACCTACTAAGGTCAGTGAGTAGCCGAAACAAAGTTATTAGTTATCTTGCTTATTAGATTGTCCCGCTCGGATTCCCCAACCAATCAAGGTAGAAAGTTACAATCACAGAACTCGTTAACGAGTCTATAGTTTTGTCAAACAATCAAACTAGCAAACTAAGTGATAACATTTCGCCCGCAATCAGATTTTTACATTGTGTGTTCTTCATTTTGCCTAAGTTTGGAAAAAATTGTTATCGTTCACAAAGTTCTGCGAATAATGCAGACCATCGGGTCTGATAATGAGTCCAAATGAATCAAAATATTTAAACTTTTTAAAATTGGTATTATTAAATCTACTACTACTACATCTTGTTTCAACTCGTATAGCTGTGTCAAAGACGTCATTCAGTTTTCCCACAAGGAACTAGTTATTGTGGTATAAATTTCCAGTTTGCCATAATCACAAGACTAGTTTAAGAGAAAGTGATCCTTCGCTTGGTAGCGAACCAGATTGTCTTCCACTTAAGTAACCTCTGGCTACAAAAAAATATTACTTTACCCCAATTTATTTAAAAAATATTAGATTACTTCCCTTTGTAAAGATTACAATGAAAATTAGTCGAGTAGCGTGTACCTATAATGGAAATGAGTTTTTCATGTTTTTTCGTTCGTTCGTTTATTTCAGCCAAATTTCGTCGAAAATCGAAAATACTTGATTACTTCCCTTTGTAAAGATTACAATGAAAATTAGTCGAGTAGCGTGTACCTATAATGGAAATGAGTTTTTCATGTTTTTTCGTTCGTTCGTTTATTTCAGCCAAATTTCGTCTGTCACTGCTGGACAAAAGCCTCCCCCAGAATTTTCTGAACGACCGGTCCTGCCCGCATCCAGGTGCTTTTTTATCTTTTTTGTTTCTATTATTTACAAACGTACAATTCGTTTATATTAGGTATGTCAAATGTTAATTCAAGTTAATTTACTGATTAACTGTATGAATATCTAAGAAATCGTAGAAATAGTTTATTATTGATGAATTACTATCCAATCGACCGTGACCCTCTTAATCATAAGGTACTTGATACAAATAAGGCCTACGTTCTAATAAAGCCTATACATCAGAAAACACAGATAAATAAATCCTACCGGGATAATACTTCAAGGACACGTACTCATATGCCCTTTAACCCAGTAGAGAGCAAGAGCGTCCCGATCGACGATCCCAGCACCAATTGGCATGCGTTCTTCTAAGGTGGTGGGTGATTTCGTGCTCTCTTATAAAAATTCGGCGATTTCATCTTAAGTTGTTGGTAAAATGACGCTGTTTTAGATTAAGCTTTTCTTAGTAATCGTTTCTAAATATTTCTTACTAGCTAATAATTACCTTAATTTGTACTACTGGCTATAGATGCATTATTTGTAAATTTTTAAAGACAACGAGAGCGAGATATCTAGTAAGGCCTAGGCCTTATTTCAGCACAGTAGGCCATATTAGATACGTATGTCAACACCTAATTACGGACAAATTCATTAAACTAAATGAGTCAAAGAGTAACAAAATATTTATTTAATAAGAATGTTACCAACAACACAGAAAAGAAAAAGAAAACAGTGTCAAAAAACATAACAAAACCTGTAAAAAAACAAACAAAATACAAAACCAATAAAAAAAAGAAAAAAGGCCGTATGTATAAATCTAAAGGAAAGGAGAATAAAAGCTGGTATTATCATGCCTGTCTCGAAGACAAAGTAGCAGATATGCGACCATAAAGGACTGCTTTAGGTGGTATCACAAAGATTGTGTAGGAGTTCGTAAAGATGATTCAGAAGCCTTATTATGCCCTGGTTCTAACAAAAAATTATGTCTCATTATGTTTACAAAAATTCAAGACTAAAAGATGTTCCTAAACTGATTTATTTGAAAGGTTTTATGTGTACGCCTTATTCAAACACGTTGTTTTAATAAGCTCTATGCAAAAAAATAATAATGTTTGTTTTTGATATTTTTTTTGATAATATATGTAAGGAATCATTAGTTTGTTACTATGAATATTTAATTTTATCTATAATTTATGTATAATTCTTAATAAGTGGAATTTAAGTGTATCTAGAGATGTAGATTGTATTTCTGTTTACTTGGTATGTAAAATTTTGATAACGCAAACAAATCGACGTGTTTAATGTTATGAGACCGCATTTTGTTTAATACAATCACAATTTTAAGGTCTAGAGGCATTTGAATCATATAGGCCTTATTCCGTGTAGGTGATTTAATAAAGCCAAAATCAGTGGTTTCGTAATTTGCTTATTTTGAATAGATTTAGTTAAAAATTGTGTTATTTTTTGTAATATTGCTAAAATTAAAGGATGGAAGAAGTTATTTAACCTTGATTTTGTTGATTAGCGTTAATATTTATTGAAATATAAGCATTTAAAGTTAGGTAGGCCTTATTTGTATCAAGTACCTTATTATGAGTTTGCACGCAGTTGAGAGGTCAAAATTGTACCTACATTATGTCAGAACTTATTACATTGCTAATCGAAATAAACTGTTCCTAAGATTTAAATGAAGTTGTGTAAACAAATGTAAAACACGAAAGCTACTATTATATTTTCGTCTCTGTAACATCTAAATATTTTTTATAGATGGTCAATGGATGACCACAGTCTATCAACTCCCTAATTTTGGGAGGCTCTTTTTAGAACATCCTGTATAACCCTGCTAGTAGCGTGCGTGTAGCCCGCGTAATAGGAAACACGTATGAAATAACTAGCTTTTTCCCGTGGCTTCACCCGCGTGAAATTTAGTTTGTCACATATCGTCACAAATTATAGCCTTTAAGTTATTCTGGGTTATAAACAATAGTACTGTAAAGTTTCAATAAAATCCGTTCAATAGTTTTTGCGTGAAAGAGTAATAAACATCCAGACATCCAAATTTTCGCATTTATAATATTATAAAATAAAATAGGAAATAGAATGAAATGCGGGCAGCCCGTGCGTGAAATCCATATCACATTAAAAATGCACTTAATTATCATGTTAATTGCGATTGACAGATCATTCATTTCGGTGCGTTTGGTCCTGATAGCAATTATAGAAGCTGCCCCACTTTCCTTATCACAGCATGTCATTCATTCGAAGTATATTCGTACATTAGATCTAAGTAAAGGAATATGCCGCGTTACTTCCGGTTTCCTTATTGGCTGGATATCTATTCAGCTTATTTTTCCCACCATATTCATTATTTACGATTAGTAATGTAATGTTAATAAGAATTCGTTTAAGAAAAGGTACGATTACGTAACAAAGTCGTTAAATTGGTGGTCAAGTGATATTAATAAAAACATCTTAACATTAGATCACAAAATTATCGTCTCAAACCAGCAGTGCTATAACGGGACTATTCCCACCTCTCGTTCCCACCACTGCAACTCCTGTGGAGCCAGGATCTACAGCTTGACCGCCACAAAAACCCAACCAATGAAGGTCAAGTTTGTGGGGGAAGTTAAACTGTCATTGGACCCGCAACGAAATTAATCAGAAGAACATAGGAGGAGTTCGAAATTAAGGTTCGACTTCCCTCCATTGCAATGCGGATGACAGGTGACAAACAAAGTTTCAAACCTTTAAGAAAAGATTTAGAAGACCAGCAGTGCTATAGGGACGGATAAAATACCGTAAAATTGTAAACTCCCTCAGTTTATAGTTCATTATAGAACGCATTTATCTCTTACATAATAAAGTGACGGAGTTTATAATTTTACGGGAACATGATAGTAATACAAGCCTTGGCCTTCATGCCAATAATTCAATAAGAGAAATAATAAGTAAGCTAAAAGTTAACTTAATCGTTTTTCACTTGTCGGTTTATTTATATCATGAACATAATTAAATAGATAAAATACTCGTACCTAGCAAGGTAGCAAGTAATTATTAATTGAAACCACGCGTGTAAAATAAACGTAGGTGTACTTTGAAAACAACTTCTAGTACTTGGTAGGTACAGACATCACTACTCATTGAACAATAATAAAATAAATCTAAGGTGCAATAGTGTCTAAACTAGTACCTACCTACATGAGTTGGTCTAATTACCTTGAATTGTATAATTATCGTTCTTACAATACATCATTAACGAGCCCAAACTACAGCTACCAGACCACCGTTAAACAAGCCCGTAATCAAGAGAAAACACAAGTTTAAGCCTCTAATCTTGTAAGGAAACTTGGGAAAATTTGTAGCTGTACCTGTGGCTGTACATAGTAGGTAGTAGCAACTAGGCGCAGACAAAATTTTAACCGGGCGTAGTAGGGCAATGTTGAACGTAGTAACTCGCCGTAATAACTAAGGCAGTATCCGCAGACTAGCGGATCTATTCGCGGAGCAGCGGGTGAATTTTTTCATTGTTTGAAGTTGTCTCGGATGTTTCTCTTAAAATAAAAATTTACCTAAAATTATATAATATTTACCAACCTAACACTTAACCAATAAAGTATGTTTTTATGATTCTGTTGATGAATTTTACTCGCTGTAAAAAAACTGAAAGAATATAGTTATTAAAATTTTTTAGCGATTAGAGTCGCTTAGGCAGTTCGAAAATTTTTAAGCCTTTTAAAATTGGAGGCTGGATCGCTGCTGAAATGGAGTTAAGGTGATTGTGGAATTTTTCTAATTTCTTTCATTTTCTGTCACGTTTTTAAACTAATATTTTTTACTAGTTTGCTTTTTCCGCTTTCCGCTCTGCTTCCCGCCCCACGTGCGTTCGCGTGTTAACCCAGCGAGCCCGGGTCGTAGAATATTCATGGAATGCTAACGTACACCGACTACTGCAAGGAGCCCCGCGAAGGTGATCGCGGTAATTTCCATGAATTGCATTATTTTAGCCGGGGAGACAACGACAGCAGCAAAC